AAGAAAGGCATCGACATCAGCCAAGGGCAACAGGACATTTTCGGCTCCATCGTGAACGTTGGCGCCATGGTTGGCGCCCTTGCTGGCGGCGTCTGCTTGGACCGTTTCGGCCGCACCAAGTGCGTTCCCGCTGTTATGTGCATGTTCAACTCGTGCTGGTGGTCCACTGCTTGGGTGTCGGCAGCCATGCGTTGCTTTTGTGTGTGTGTGTGTGTGTGTGTGTGTGTGCTTTGCGTTTGAACACATCCACGCCAGCACCAGTCGCACAGCTGATCGTTGTTGGTCCTTGATCGCTGTGCCTCTGTTCTCCGTGTGCGCAGGACGTTTCTGGTGTCGTCCATCTTCTACGCGGCCGGGTTTCTGCTCATCGCCTTCTGCCAGCACGTGACCGAGCCCTTTGCCATGCTCCTCGTCGGCCGCATCCTCGACGGCTTTGCCATCGGCATCGTGCGTCCATTGGAATGTGATCTCTTGCGTTGTGGTGTGGTGTGGTGTGTGTGCGTGTGTGTGTGTGTTTCTCCCTACCCACACAAGGAAACACAGACACACACGCGCGCGCACACAGTGATGCTGGCTTTGTGCAGCTGACATGCGCGCATCTCTCACAATCATCCTGTCTCCGTCATCGATGTCCACAACCAGGCGTCTGTCTCGGTGCCCGTGTACATTGCTGAAATCGCCCCTGCCCATCTCCGCGGTGGCATGGGCAGCATCAACCAGCTGGTACGCAATCCCATACGCACACGTGTACACACACGCACGCACACACACGTACAGAGCATGCTCTGCTGGTTCTCCCTCCCTCCCCTCTCTCGTTTGCTTGCTCCTCGGTTCCTCACATATGCTGCGTTGTCCCATCCCATCGCCTAGGCCGTGACGCTTGGTGTTCTGCTGGCGTATGCCATTGGCGCTGGCGTGACCTGGAGCAATCTTGCTTGGATCGGTGAGCACACGACTGCGCATGTGTGTGCTTTTGTGTGCTTTAATGTGTGTGTGTGTGTGTGTGTGTGTGTGTGTGTGTGTGTGTGTGCGTGCGTGCGTTTCTGTTGAACACCAGTTGTGTGATGGTGAAGACCTTGTTGTATTCTCACTGAAACCTTCACGATACTCTCGCGTTTTGCGCCACCAGGTGCACTCGCCCCTGGCGCCCTGGGCGTGGCGTCGTTCTTCCTGCCCGACTCTCCCCGCTACCTCGCAAAGAAGGGCCGCATGCAGGCCGGTATGTCACCACACACACACACACACACACACACACACACACACACACACACACACACACACACACACACACACACACACACGCATCCGCCGTGTACATGTGCTCGTTGATGCACCTCGGGCACGCCATCTCTCGTTCCAGGACATTTTTGTGATGTCGCTTCGCCACCCAATACCTTTTCTCTCACGCCACCATCACATCACCACCTCCATCCCCTCCCCCAACCACCACACACACACACACACACACACACACACACACACACACACACACACACACACACACACACACACCCTCTGCCACCGTTAGCACTGCGAGACCTGCGGCGCTTGCGCGGGCCCAAGGCGGACTGCGAATCGGAGCTGAACACGGTGCGGGCGAGCCTGAGCACGGAGGAGAGCAGCGCGTCTGTGCTGGATGTGTTCCGCGGCGCCTCTGGTCGCGCCCTCGTCGTGGCAGCGGGCATCATGCTCTTCCAGCAGTTTTCCGGCATCAACGCCGTCATCTTCTTCAGCGGCTCCGTGCGTTTGCCATCATGTTTTGTTGTGCTGCGTCGTGTCCTGCTGCGCCGTCTTGTGGTGTGGAGTTTGAGGGGGGTTTGGGCACCAAACTTGCTTGCACACACACACACTCACACACGCACACACACACGCACACACGCACACACACACTCACTCAATCATCTGCCCCCGGGTCTTGGCGTGTTCAGATCTTTGAGGATGCCGGGTTTGACAATTCCAACGTGGCTGCGCTGATTGTTGGCAGCGTGCAGTTTGTTGTCACCGCCATCTCCTGCGTGATTGTCGACAAGAGCGGTCGCCGTGCGCTCCTCATGGTGGCCGGTGTCGGCATGGCTGCCAGCTCGGCCCTCCTTGGTCAGCCCCATGCTGTGTGTGTGTGTGTGTGTGTGTGTGTGCGTGTGTGTGTGTGTGTGCGTGTGCGTGTGCGTGTGCGTGTGCGTGTGTGTGTGCGTGTTTATGCGAGTGTATCTGGGTCTGTTGTTGCATGTTGAGTGTTTGCGAGGATGCCGCTTGGGGCGTGTATGGTCCCGTGTGTCGTTCTGTTGCCAGCAACGGAACTGGTGTAGCCGCTTTCCCCCGCCCCCCCCCTCTCCTTTATCAGCCGTTCACCCTGGCTGGCACTTCTGGCTGCCTCCTGTTTATCACAATACGCGTTCACCGCCTGTCCTCTCGTCGTATCAAACGCTGTGATCTGGCAGGCTACTACTTTTGGTTGCAGAACAACCAGTACAGCGTGAGCGGCACTGTTGCTCTCGTCAACGTCATTGTCTACATTGCCTGCTTCTCCATTGGCCTCGGCGCCATCCCTTGGTATGTGTGCGTGTTTGCTTGCTTGCTTGTTTGTTTGTTCGTGTGTTTGCAAGTCGGCTTCTTTGCTTCAAAGTCGGCTCCGCTTGGCTGTGCCACCTGACCCCTTTTGCCTCTTCCTTGTGTGTCGTTTCACCGCCTCACATCCACACACACACACACACACACACACACTCTCTCTCTCTCTCACGCTCACATATCATCCCCTCCGTTTCCCAAACCTCTGCTGCAACAACCACTGCCTCCCCCAACCCCTGGTTCAGGCTGATCATGTCTGAGATCTTTCCTGGGCGCGTGCGCGGCATTGCGTCGAGCTTTGCCACGCTGCTCAACTGGACGTGTTCCTTCATTGTGACGGAGACCTTCTCCTCCATCAAGTCTGCCCTGCACGAGCAGGGCGTCTTCTGGCTCTACGCCGCCGTGTGCGTCCTCGGCGTCACTTTTGTCTTCTTCAAGCTCCCAGAGACAAAGGTGCGTGCAGTTTGTGCCAAGGCACACACTTTGTCGACTGCCCTGCTTCTTTTGCCCCTGTTCTTCTGTCGCCCAGTTCTGGTTTATGGCAACTCTCACATATTGTCTGTTCCAACACACACACACACACACACACACACACACACACACACACACACACACACACACACACACACACACACACACACACACAGGGCCGCTCGCTTGAGGAGATTCAGCTCTTCTTCGAGGGCAACCATCAGTCCTCGGGCGGCGATGATGATGATGATGACGAAGACGGTGGATCTGGCAGCCAGGGCTCGGATGGCAAGAAGCTGTTGCAAGTTGGTGTTCTCTTGGCCGTTCTCTACGTCGGCCTTGTTCTCTTTGGCTCCTCCATCTAACGTGGGAGCACAGCGTGGCTAGCCATACCATGCGGCACCGGACCGCATGCGCACGCGTGTCTGCGCCACACTGCGGTTGTGGCCACCCTCCCCCCTCTTGCCACCACCACCGCCACCACCTTGGTGCTCTTTTTGACCCTCGTCTGTCTCTTGCGCACCTGATGTGCTGTGACCCTGATCTTCCTTCATCCTTGCACCCTGCGTTGAATTACACGTTCCTTGCCACGCTGCTGCTCGTGTTAGCCTGTATGTTGTTAGTCTGCATGTGAGCTTGTGAGCGTGTGTGTGCTTTTGTGTTTTGTTTTTTGTGTTCCGGCGTGTCTGTCTGTATGTCGTTGTATGTCGTTGTCCACGCGTTTGAGGTGGGGGGAGATGGGGGGGGGGTGTATGTTTTTGGTTTGTCTGTGCGTTTCCGTGTCGGTGCAACAGCCCCAGCACAACGTGAGAGCTTTCGCTTGCTCGGTTGGTTGCTTGGTTGCTTGGTTGTCTGCCTTCTTGTTCTTGGCCTGCCTTCTTGCTTTGTCCTGCCTTCTTGTTCTTCCTGCTTGCTTTGTCCTTGCGGCACCCCCCCCCCCCTCCTTTCACCTTGTGCCATCGTGCTGTGGTTCTCGCATTGTTCAATAGACACCCTTCTAATTGCCAAGCAACAGCGGCCAACCACACGAAGAACCTACATTATACTGCAACGACGCAATTTCGAATTCCCGCTGCGCACACACACACACACACACACACACAGCGCCCCACCCGGATCTAAACCTAAACCCGCGACAGCTTGGTTGGGTGGGTGGGTGCAAGGCACGCAAGGGCGGGGTGCTCTCTCTTGTGTCGAAGAATGATGGGGAAGGAAAAAGCACACACACACACACACACACACACACACACACACACACACACACACATAGTCAGACCATCAGAGTGGCCGAGGGACCGTGCACTCTCTTACCTCACATAGTCCAACCTATAGGCCCAACCCTCCAACCTGCGATTCACGGATAAACTGGGTTGATGAGAACCTTGCGGCGCTGGACGCGGTGTTAAGTCGCCTCATTTACAGGAATGTCTGAGGAATTCTGTCTCATCTCTTGGCACGAACTTCTAGTAGCTCATTACGTGAGCAGAACACTAGGTTACCAATCTCCCGCACTTATATTCTGCAGCCGTACTACTGGTACGAATGAATTATGATTTGAATTATGGACCATAGCTGTATTATATAAGTGATACCGAATGACCCTGGGTTTGCTTAAGGTCGCCAATCACAGCGGAGGGAGATAGACCATCACACGACACTCTAAACCTGCCCGGAAGTTCAGGATCGGGCGCTGGATTGAGGACAAAATCGTGACCGCTCCTGGTGCGATTACACACACACACACACACACACACACACACACACACACACACACACAGCAAAAGCAAAACCACTGCACACGCCCCCGCCCACAACAGCGGATCCGACAGCACAAAAAAACAAAGTGTTGTGCCTGCAGGCAAAGAAAAATAGGGTGTGTTTCCCACTGGTTTTCTACATTGTTCCTTCCTGCTTTCTTTTGCATGCAGGCAAAAATGTGCGCAAAAAGCCGCCAAGCCCACCATCAGTCGACGATTGTTGCTGGACATCTTCCACTAACAGCACACTTCGCACCGTGTTGACAACTGCGGTGTGCTGGCGATTTTTCTCCTCTCTCTGTCCCGCCGCCACACCAAAACTCAAACTCACGCACACACGCACCCACTGACACCCACCCACTGCCGCCTGCTGCTTCTTCGCCTCGCGATGGCAGTGTTTGTGTGTGTGTGTGTGTGTGTGTGTTTTGTGTTTTCCCCCTCACGCGCTCTCGCTTCGCCTGCTTGTGCTTGCGTGTTCTCCCATCACTTTCCGTGTGCTTTCGTCGTCTCGTCGCCACCTCGCCCGCTCGCTCGACAACCACCCCTGTAAGCCCAGTGCCATCTGCCATCTGCCATCTGCCATCTGCCATCTGCTTTGGGGCGCTCCTGCTTGCCGTATGCGCATGTGTATGTGAGTGTGTGTGTGCGCAAGCGAGCTGCTGCCGTGGTGCCGATCGCACCCAAGCGCGCGCCCGCGTGTGTGCGTGTGAATGTGTGCATGTATGTATGTGTTTTGCGACCGCACCCGGCGTTTGGTGTGTTTGATGTTTGGTTCGCCAACAATGGCATGCGCCATCCGGGTGCGGTCGAAACCCCCCCCCTCTCCATATCCAACCCTTGTCTCTCTCTCTCTCTCTATGCCGTCCTCGTCTTGTGTTCCTTGTGTTTGGGTCCTCTTCTCCTTCGCCTGCTTCTTCCTCCTTGCGTGTCCTCTCTCCTTCCCACGTTTCATTCAGTGTTCCCCCCCCCCTCTCTCTCTCTGGGTGAGCCGTCGCAACCATTGGTTTTGTCAGTGGTGGTCGTCAGTGATGTGATGTAGAATGGCATGAGATGCGAAACGCGTCCAACCCGACAAAAAGTGTCGGCCAACCCATGTGTGCCACTTGCGCCTCTCTCGCTTGTCACCACTCCCAACCTTTCCGCCATCACCACTGCTTTCACTGTCGCTTCTCCACCTTGTTGGGTCCGCTCTTGCTTCTTCTTACTTCGTCTCCTGCTACTTCTCGTGGTCCTCGCCCATGCCATTCCTCATCTTGCCTCAACCTCATTCCATCGCATGGCGTGTTCGTCGTGTTGTTCACCTTGTTGTTGTTGTTGTTGATCAACCTTGCTCAAGCACTTTCCATCCCAGCTTCCTGCATTGAGTCAAACGCCTTTTGTTGCTTTTGTTCTCCTCCCTCCTCTTCTTCTTCTTGTGCCAATACCACCGTCACCACCTCGCACGTGCCATTACTACCAACACCATTTTGCCTGCAAGCACTGTTCATCATCGCACACTTCAAGCAACTCATCGCACGCCTCTCTTGCGCTTGCTGCCCTTGCTCTGGTCCACTTGTTTGCACCCTCGTGGCGCCCTCGTGTGTGTTTTCTCCACACGTCCACACGTCCACACGCGCACTCCACCCGTATCGCGACAGGCGGACACCCTTCACCATCCTCGACTGGTGTCTGTGAGTCCTCTGTCCGATCGCCCCGAGTGTGATCGGTAGTCACAATCCGCGTGGCTGCCTCGACGAACCATCCGCAAAACGCCCTCCACCATGAAACTCGCCAGCATGCTTGCCGTGCTGGTGGTCGCTGCCCTGGCTGCTTCCGTCTCATCGACAAGCACCACGGCAACCACCACCACCACAACGACAACGACAACGCCAGCCATTTCCGTGCCCGCAACCACAGCGACGATGAACACAACAACGACAACAACGACAACGACAACTACAGCCGTGGTCACACCAACGGTTCCCGTCACGGAGTCGTCCACGTCCACGTCTTCCTCAACCTCCACTTCCTCCACCTCCACCTCTGAGTTTGGCGTGGACAACATCCTCGGTGCGTTTCTTCTCTTGCTCCTGGTTTGCCTCGCAGACACACTGACTGACTCACACTCTCACAGCCAAACATGCTGTCTCACTCACTCTCTCTCTCTCAACACACACACACACTCACTCACTCACTCTCACACTCACTCACGACACAACACACACACACACACACACACTCACTCACTCACTTGCTCAACCACCAACTCACTCGCACGCCCAACCCCTTGAACGTCCCGGCTCATTCCATGCCGCACAGACTGGACCGAGTTTGGCAACTTTGAGTTCCGCTTGATCCAGCAGAAGCGCACGCAGGACGAGGCCCAGGCCAGCTGCGAGACGGAGGACGGCTACCTCGCCACCATCCTGGATCCCGAGGAGCAGACCTTCCTGCGCCAAGTCGTGCCAAAGTCAACCGACCTCAGGCAGGTGTGGATCGGCGCCGAGTTTGACGACCTGCACCAGAACATCACCTGGCAAGACGGCCGCACCACTTCCCTCTCTCCTCTGCCATGGGCCGACGGTGAGCCCAACAACTTCAACGATGACCAGTTCTGCGTCGTCTTCAGCACTGGCACCGTCGAGGACCGCGATGGCACCTGGATCGACATGGGCTGCGATTCCACCCGCGGCTACATCTGCAAGCGTAACGCCTTCACCAGCTCCACCTCCACCTCAACATCGTCTTCCACATCCACCAGCTCCTCCTCCAGCACCAGCAGCAGCAGCACCACGTCCACTTCTTCCTCAACATCGTCCTCCTCTTCCACCTCCACTTCCTCCTCATCTTCCACCTCGAGCACAAGCTCAACGTCCTCATCCACCTCAACCTCAACCTCCACATCCTCCTCCACCTCCTCCTCCACCACATCCACCACCACCACCACCCTCTTCTTCGCCCTTGGCGAGAGTGAGTAACACCTCTGCTGGTGCTTGTTGTGCTTGCCCCTGTGCACATGCCTCCTTCGTTCGCCACGTCGGCTCACCACCCCATGCGTGTCACGTTTTGTTTCCGCCACTCACCACCTGCTTTTCCTGACTTGCTCCGCTCATCCTTCTCCCTTGCCTCACTCATTGCCCAACAGACGGCGCCCTCTTTGAAGGCAACACGTACTACTTTTACGACGACAAGGTGCAGTTTGATACTGCCCTCGCCGCGTGCCGCGACGACAACGCCGAGCTTGTCAGCCTCCTCAGCAACGACGAATACCGCTTCTTCATCGACTTCCTCAGCGTCGTCACCACCAACACCCAAATCTGGCTCGGCGCACAGCTCTCCAACGATGGCCTGTCCCTGGAGTGGACCGACATGAGCCCAACAAACTTCACGGACCCGCTCGTCGGCACAACCCCGCTTGCTTGCGTCGTGCAGAACCAGGACAACGACCAGTGGGAGGACCTCTCCTGCACCCGCCGCCGCTCATACGTGTGCAAGGCCCCTTACATCACCACGGTCACATCCACCTCCACCTCCACCAGCACGTCCACTTCAACTTCAACATCCACTTCAACCTCCACTAGCACTTCAACCTCCACTAGCACTTCAACCTCCACCTCCACTAGCACCTCCACATCTACATCGACCTCGACGTCAACTTCGACTTCCACGTCTACGTCCACCTCCACATCCACGTCCACTTCAACCAGCACCTCGACCTCCACTTCCACCAGCACCTCGACATCGACCTCAACCTCCTCCACAACCTCCACATCGACTTCCACATCGACTTCAACCTCCACCTCGTCTTCTTCAACCTCTGAGTTCCTCGTCGATAACCTCGTTGGTGCGTGTGACTCACTCATCTGCGAGAATGGCACCATGCATGCATGCATGCATGCATGCATGCAACTGCTCTTGGAGCTGTGATGTTTCACTTTGTCTCGTATGCACGCGTTCACTTGTTGTCTGTACGCTCGTGTTGCTTTATTGTCGTCTGTATGCGCGCACCGCCTGTTTCTCTGACGTTTCCGATGCACCCCCTTGCTCACCCGAAACACACACACACACACACACACACACCCTCTCCTCTGCTCCCTCTTCTCTGGACCCTCCCATCATCGTTCTCGACAACGACACCAGAGTGGACCGAGTTTGGCAACTTTGAGTTCCGCGTGATCCAGGACAAGCAGTCGCAGGATGATGCGCAGGCCAGCTGCGAAGCTGAGGACGGCTACCTCGCCACCATCCTGGACGCCGAGGAGCAGACGTTCCTGCGCCAGATTGTGCCCAAGACGACAGACCTGCGCCAGCTGTGGATTGGCGCCGAGTTCAACGAGGCCCACGACAGCATCTGGTGGCAGGACGGCCGTACGACGCGCCTGTGGCCGCTGCCATGGGAGGAGGGTGAGCCCAACAACTTTGATGGCGACCAGTTCTGCGTTGTCTTCAACACGGGCACCACGGACGAGCGTGACGGCACATGGGCCGACCTTGGCTGCCAGTCCCTGCGTGGCTTCATCTGCAAGCGCAACGCCTTCACCACATCGTCGTCCACCTCGACCTCGACCTCTACCTCCACCTCGTCGTCCACCTCCACGAGCAGCAGCAGCACGACATCAACCTCGTCGTCCACGTCGTCCTCGACCTCGACCTCGACGTCCTCATCGTCATCCACCTCCACGTCTTCCTCCACATCGTCGTCCACGTCCACGACCACCTCGTCGTCGTCATCCACCTCGTCGTCGTCGTCGACTTCCTCGTCGACATCCACCACGACATCCACCTCCTCCTCCACGTCTTCGTCGACGTCGACGTCGACAAGCACCAGCACGCTGTTCCGCACTGTTGAGCCTGGCGTTGCCGTGTTTGATGGGTCGCTGTACCAGTATGTTGATGAGAAGGTGACGTTTGACGAGGCGTGGGCCTACTGCGTTGACGAGTGGGATGGCTCGCTGGTGAGCGTGCTGTCGCAGGCGGAGCTTGACTTTGTGCTTGTTGTGATTCGTGCTTCGACGACCAACAACCAGGTGTGGCTGGGTGCCCACCTGACCGACGATGGCGCGAGTATTGAGTGGGTTGACGGCAGCGAGGCGGTTGACTTTGGGTGGCCGCTTGCTGCGTCTGCGACGACGCCAGGCGCGTGCCTTGTGCAGAACACCCAGAACGGCGAGTGGGAGGAGCTTCCCTGCACGCGCCGCCGCTCGTACATGTGCAAGCGTGAGTACGTGACCACGGTGACATCCACCTCCACCTCCACGTCAACCTCCACCTCTACATCAACCACGTCCTCCACCTCCACATCCACGTCGACATCGACCTCCACCTCCACCTCCACGTCGACGACCTCGAGCACATCGTCCTCGACGTCGTCCTCTACCAGCACCAGCACGTCTACCTCATCCTCCACCTCTACGTCGACGTCCACAAGCACGTCTACCTCCACCTCAACCTCAACCTCAACCAGCACGAGCACGTCCACGAGCACCTCAACCTCAACTTCAACCTCCACGTCCACCAGCACATCGTCCTCCACCTCGACCAGCACCTCGACCTCCACAAGCACGACATCGTCGACTTCCACGTCCACATCGACTTCGACGTCAACATCGTCGTCCTCTTCCACGACGACCACGACAACACCCTTTGTTCCTCCATCCGTGTTCAACCCATCCTTTGAGGACAACGAGCTGAGCGCTGGCGGCTTCATTGCGGCTGCGGACAACTGGGCGCTCTCTGGCCAGGCTGGCACCTTCTTCCCCAACAACGGCGAGTACAACGTGCCGGACCAGGACCAGGTGTTGTACCTCAACGCGGGGGCGAGCGCGTGGCAGCTGCTGCAGGGCGTGCGTCTTGGCGACAAGGTGCACGTGCAGGTGGCGGTGAACGTCGGCTGGCGCGCGGACTACGACCGCTTCCTGCAGGCGGACCTTGACGTGTACGCTGAGGAGAGTCAGGAGCTGGTTGCCAGCGCGAAGGTAACCGAGTTCTTCTTCACTGGCCTTGGCCCTGGCGACTTTGCTGCTGTGACGGTTGACGTGGTTGACTTTGGCCCTGAGCTCTGGGGCGAGCGCCTGCGCCTTGTCATCACCAACACTGCTGACCGCCAGCAGGTCGGCATTGACAACATCAGCGTGGATGTGTCGCTGGACACGACCACGGGCACATCCACCTCGTCGTCCACGTCCACGTCTTCCTCCACCTCGACCTCCACGTCGTCGTCGACCTCCACGACCACGGAGTTTGTGAGTGTTCCTCTGGGCAACACGGGCTTTGAGTCGCAGGTTCTTGCGAACGAGGGCGACTTTGAGACGGTGATCACGGACTGGGTTGTCTCTGGCGTTTCCGGCGTGTTCCACCCATCTGCGGCCGAGTACGCCGACGGCGCGCCCGAGGGCAACAACGTCGCCTTTGTCAACGCAAACAGTGCCATCAGCCAGGTGGTCAGCGACGTTGAGCTGATCACGCTTGCCGAGGTGACCATGACCTTCCGCGTTGGCTGGCGCCAGGACCAGGACCGCTTCTTGCAGATGGAGGCGAAGGTGTACGCTGGCGAGGGTGATGCTCGCATGCTCATCAGCTCGCGCCGCGTCCTGGAGACGGACGTCATTCGCGGCGAGTTTGTGGAGCTCTCCGTTGTTGGCTTTGTCACTGCGGAACACAGCGCCTTCAACTCTGTCACCGTTGAGTTTGAGAACACCGCCCGCCGCCTGCAGGTCAACGTGGACGATGTCTCGCTCACCATTGTCAACCCGTAGATGATCCCTCCTCACACCTACAATCCGCTACATGCCGCCTTTCTTTCTTTTTCCTTCCTTTCTACCTTGTCCACCTTCTCCTCCTTCACATCTTTGTTTTGGTTTGTTCTACAACCAACCTTTGTGTTTGTTGCTGTTTGCGTTGCTGTGATGAAAGTGGCATATGTGGTGATAATTGTGCGGATGTCCTTGTGTATGAGATGGAAGGTTGTGTGTGAGCGTTGTTTGAGTGCCTCTTGTTTCCTACCTGTGCGTTTGTTGTTGCGCTCGTCTGTGAAATAACCTCTGCTTTTGGTGTCTTCTCCTTTTTACGACCCCACGCTTTCTCCTTTTCTTTACTTGCCCACTGGGTGTCCTCCATTGGCGCTCCTCCTGCCTTTGAGGGCTTGTTTTCCCTACGTTCTGGACTATGTGTCATGAGGCTGTTGCACGTGTTTTTGTTTCCGGTGATGTGATGGTTTCGTTTCTATGTCTGTGTCTGTGTGCTTGTGGTGTCTGTGGCAAGCACTGTGTGCGGGTGCGCAAGAGAAACGTTGCTCGCTTGCTTGCGCGCGATTGCGACTTGGGCGTCTCGCCACATGCTGTCCGTTTGTGGTTTGTCTTGGTGCGTGTGTGTGTGTGTGTGTGTGTGTGTTCTTTTCTGTCTTGCCTCTCCCAATTTACACAGCAAGCCAAGAAGCCATGTATGCGGGTTTTGGTCAGCAAGGATGGAGGGGGAAGGGGAAAGAAGTCGTGATGGAGGTGGCAAGGAGGGGGGGGGGGCTTGTGCCGTGATGATGAAGCTGCCATCGTGACAGGAACGGAAGTGCTTGACATAGGTGTGGGGTGTGACATGTGATGTGCTTGCAGGCACAAGCGAGGCAAGCAAAAGAAGCCGCGCGCCATTTCGTGTCCGACACCACAAAATGCAGCGATGAAGGACGGGTGCGCGGAAACGACTACAGGTGGTGGTGGTGGTGTGAAGGATGGGGATGATGCAGTGGCAGAGAAGGAGCAGGCAGCCGTGGTGGAAGAGAAAGAGGAACAGCAGGAGGACGTGGATGACGTGGAGGACGTGATTGGGACGTTGAGGGGGGCGCTGAAGAGTGACTATTCAGGGGCGGTGTTTCCACGCAGACCACAGCACTATGCTCCACACCAGCCTCTTCCCCATGATCACGTGCCATCATCCTCCTCCTCCTCCTCAACTGACGTTAACGGTGGGCACCAAGGCACAACAACAACAACAACAACAACAACACCGCCACAACCACAACCACACCAATCTACGCAAGTGCTGGCGCACAACCCAGTCGTGCACAACATTGCGTCCATGTCTCGCATCCTCCAGCTGCGCGATCGCCTTCGAGGGATAAAGGTGCGAATGAATGTTCATGTTTCTGTCCGTCTCTGTTGGTGTGAGGCTGGGCGAGCAAGGCGTGGCTTTGGCCTGCTCATGTCCGAACCAAACACTGCCCCTTGTCCCATGTTCACATGCACTGGTCTTCCACTCCCAACAATCACTTTCACGGATGTGCATCCTTCACACACACTCACTCACACACTCACACACACACTCACACACCATACTTGTACGCACGCACGCATGCACGCACACTCACACACACACACACACACACACACACACACACACACACACACACACACACACACACACACACACACACACACACACACACACACGCACGCGCACTGATAGAGGCAGGCCGGCCAACCTCAAGCTGCCATGACCGATGATTCCCCACAGCAAACTTCGGTCCGTACACAGCATGGATTGCTGTGACGGGTGAATATGTCGGGCTTGTCTTCATCTTGAAATGCAAGTTGCTTGCGCCTCATGTTTCATGCTACGCGACATGAACATCCAAGTCCTCTCATACCCTTGCATGCTGCTTGCCTGCCACACAGATGACAACACTTGCATCCACGCTGCTCGCACAACAAGGTGCTGAACGAGTGAAACTGAGTGTGTTTGCCTGCACAGAGCATTATAGTGTGAGAGTGATCGTGTGTGATAGTGTGTGAGAGTGATAGTGTGTGAGAGTGAGAGAGTGAGCGTGTGTGAGAGTGAGAGTGTGAGAGTGTGAGTGCGTGACACACACACACACACATACACACACATGTGGGTGCACGTCAACCAACTACAAGCTGCGCCTTTGGCCGATCCCCCCAGATGTTGCTCACGTAATTTGCGGTGCACTCTTGCAGATGTGGAGAACCCTTATGTTGACGGATGCCGCTCGCTGCATACGGCGGTGGCCACCCTCGCAGCACATGCCGGGTTCTCTTGTGAGTATTGTGCCGACTGACTCTCGCTTGTGTTTTGCACCATGAGAGCTACGACTCGCATACGGCTTGCCAAAACAACAGCTACAAGCACCTCTCACCAGTGCTTGTGAACTTGTATGTGTGTGTGTGTTTGTGTACGTGTGTGTTTGTGCGTGCGTGTGTGTGTGTGTGTGTGTGCGTGTGTGTGCGTGTGTGTGCGTGTGTGTGTGTGTGCGTGTGTGTGCGTGTGTGTGTGTGTGTGTGCGTGTGTGTGTGTGTGTGTGTGTGTGTGTACGTGTACGTGCGTATGCAGGCGTGTCGGATCATTCGCTGTCCGTGCTGGAAGGCGCGACGCGAACCTTTATTGAACGCGTGTGTCAACTCACGCGCACTCTCAAGGATCACCACTCTGCTTCCGCATCCGATCAGGTGCTCTTGCCTGTGCTCATATGTGTGTGTCTGTGTATCTGTGTGTCTGTGTGTGTCTGCCTCCGCCTCTGAGTCTCTACCACCGCCTCTGAGTCTCTTCCTCCGCCTCTGCTTTGTGGATGTGTGGAAATGCCTGTCTCCCTGTATTGCTGCGTTCGTGTTTGCGTGTGTGACTAATCGCAAGTGCGCAAGGGCGTCCACCGTCGCTCCGCTCGCTGACATGCACCAAACTACCACCTGCTCGTTCTTCTTGCCCGGTCATGTGCAGACACTTGTCGCTGCTGCTGTGCGAGAGGTGACACCCCGCGGTCTCCGGGGATTGAGCAGGTATGTACAGGACGACGTGATGGGCTTTGGGGAGCAGCTGCAACAAGTGGAGACAAACTTGCACGCAGCGATACACGAGCACGAGGTAATGTGGCAGGAGGGAGGAGGGTTATATGGCAGGCGGCGCTGCTCAGATGTTGTGTTCCGTACGTGGTGGGGCGTCGTGATCATCATGCTTCATGGCGTTTCACTCGTGCCTGCACACACGGACTCTGGTTCACATTGCTTCACATACACACTCACTCACTCACTCACTCACTCACTCACTCACTCACACTCACACACACGTTCACTCACACTCACACACACCTTGCAGCAGCGGACACCACGATTGCAGAGCAGCTTGCAACACGGGGAGCAGGGCAGTCTGCACACCGCCATGTCACCAGGAGTAGCAGCAGCAACAACAGCAACGGCAGCAGGGAATGGGACGCGTGTGAAGCAAGAGGAGATGGTGGATGGCGGCGATGGAGGGAACGGCGTGGGTGTGGCGGCAGCTACCATGGATGTGGAGCAGGCGAATTTGCTCTCCAGTGAAGTCTTTGATACGGAAACTGGCGGGATTGACGCGCATCAGGTGTGTGTGTGTGTGTGTCTGTGTGTGTGTGTGTGTGTGTGTGTGTGTGTGTGTCTGTGTGTCTGTGTGTGTGTGTGTGTGTCTGTGTGTCTGTCCTATCTCTCTGCACCCATGCACTTTTCGTGACCATTCACGCTCGCTCATGCCCTGTCCCTCAGCTCCCAGCGTCTGTGCTTCAACAGGTCATGCCAGCAGCAGACGCGATGTACGTGTCTTTCCCACAGCAGTGAAAGGGATTCTGTCTGCCTGCAAGAAGAGAGAGAGAGACAGAGAGACAGAGACAGAGAGAGACAGAGAGAAGAGGAAACAGCGCCGCTTTGGCGTGTATTTTGCTGATGCCATTGAGGTTTTGTTGCTGATGACTCGTCCATCCATCTCCACTTGCCGCCTCCATGTCACATTCGATGCATGTCATTGTCTCTGTCTGCTGCTGCATGGCTTGTGCTGCTTTCACCCAGAGCACATGCAAACGGTGGTGATGCGTGGGCGGTGACGGCGCGCAAGGTGAGGAAACGAGAGGGAGAGGGAGGTTGTCATTGTGTCTGGCTGACCATATGCACCCATTGCTCGCCTACTTTTTCCAACAGGCGCACGTGTGCACATTCACACACAAACACAAACACAAACGCCATGTGCATGTACACGTGCAGTACGTCGTGCCGGCCTGGAAGGACGTCGATCCCTCATCCCAGGTTTGTCACACACACACACACACACACACACACACACACACACACACACACACACACACACACACACACATATGCTTGCACATGGCTCTTCCGATGCTGCCTCGCCCCTCACATCAGCTTGACGTGACAGGTTGGCCTCCTCAGCTCCAAGTAACAACAACCCGATGCAGCAACTCGACCACATGTACACAGCAAGAACACACACACATGTATGCATGCACCCATTGTCCCACCACTCTGTGCACACACGCGCGCGCACACACACACGCACGCACGCACAGAGTGTCGCTGTAGTTCCTTTTGCTCAAGTAGACGAACAAACAATTGTTTATGGCGACGAGCACAAGCAAAATCACGACCAAACGGTGGGCGCGCACATGAGCGAATCCCATGCTGCATCTGTCTGTCAAGGGAGTGAAAGACGCTACAACAGGGGAGAGGGCATGACGAGGAGGAGTTGTGGAGGGCAAGAAGGGGCGTGCAACACGCTCTCGGCCACAACAACCCACCGTGCAAACGCACACAACAACACCAACACGCAAACGAAACAACGAAACAAACAAAGGATGCAACGACAGACCAACGAAAGTGACAGACGGGCTTTGTTGAGAAGGGCAACGCAAGGGACAGACCAGACGTCAAATGAAGAGGACAACAAGCGACACAATGGACGGGCAAACAACACCCAAAAGAGAAAAGGGAGAGGAAACGGCACAACACCCCACACACTGACGCTCCATACCTAGTGCCTTCTCGGAAGAAGAGGAGAGAGCACGGAGCAGCATCTCGCATGCCACAGCCTAACAATCGAATAAAATGACGAGAGGAAAGAAGCACCACGCCTCATGGGTGCATGTGTGACGCAGCAGCAGCAGTGTTGCTCGTGTGGAGAGAGACGAGACAACACGCGCTGCGGCACACCTAATCAAGCTAACGAGAGAGTGAATAGCAGCAAGTACGAGGCGCAATGCCAGCGACTGTGGCGGGCAAGAAGATAAAAAGAGCTTAGGGTGTCGGTAACACACGGCGGCGGACGCAGTCAAACGACAGCAACGGGCGCAAGACGAAGGAAACCCAAACATCGGCACAAACAGGAAAACACAACATCCAACACCTTGGCGCCGTCACCGCGTGTCAGAAGGAACAGAGACAAACAAGAAGAACAAAACCTCTCAAACAACAATCCCTGGACATGGCTATAGGAAGGGGAGGGAAACAAACAACACAACACAAAAACAAGAGAGAGAGAGAAAGTCAACAAACATTCACAACAAGAAGGATGGGTGGCGATGGAAGGGGGTCTGTCACGTGATCGCACAACGAGGAACAAAAACAAACAAAACAGATTCCAGATGAAAACAAGGTCGGTGGGGAGGGGGAGTTACACTACAGCGCACCAGAGGTGGCATCGTGGAGCGCCAACCCGCCACGGCTGCGTGGTTTACCACCAGTCCTTGCCCGAGGAGGCGGGCTGGGGCTGGCGAGGCATGTAGCTGCTACCGCTGCTGGCGTTGCCGCCGCTTGGATAGCGTGGGGCATCAAAACCGCGACCTAATGGGGGGAAAAAAACGGCGGCGAGCGAATATGAGAGAGACAGGGGGAGAAAAAAAAAAAGGACCGGGGGGTGGTTTCAGGTGAGCTGGGTGATGGATTTGAAAAGTATTTCAAACTAGCATGTACGCACATGGAACAGAGACTGAAACGAAAGTAAACAAAGCATCAACACGCGCGCGCGCGCGTGTGTGTGTGTGTATATGTGATGGAAACGTGCGCGTGAACGTGTGCATTTGCAAGAAACGCACCGCCGCCGTAGCTGGGACCGCCGAAACCGCCACCGTAGCTTGGGCCGCCAAAGTTGCCGCCGCCATAGCCACCACTGAAGCCGCCGCCGCCGCCGCCGTTACGGCTGCCGTAGTCGCGACCGCCACCACGGCCGCGTCCACCGCTGCGACCGCCCCGGCGCCCGCCGCCGCCACGACGACCACCGCGGGCACGGCGGGAAAAGTCCTCCAGCCAGTCGGGGACCTCCTGCTTGCACTCGCGCAGCGTGTCGAGCAGGTCGCGGGCGACGTTGGCGTTCTTGTCGTTGAAGAAGGAGATGGCCTGGCCCTTGTGGCCGACGCGGCCCGTGCGGCCAATGCGGTGCACGTACTCGTCAATGTCCGAGGGCAGGTCAAAGTTGATGACGCGCTTGACGTTGGGGATGTCGAGACCGCGGGCAGCGACGGCGGTGGCGACGAGGATGGGCGTGTAGCCGTCGCGGAAGCTGGCCAGGGCGCGCTCGCGCTGCTCCTGGGTGCGGTCGCCGTGGATGGACGAGGCCGGGAACTGCTGGTGGATGAGAAAGTCCTCCAGGGCGTCGGCACCGCGCTTCGTCTCGACAAAGACGAGGACGAGCTCCTTTTCGCTGGCGGCGGAGATGAGGTCCAGCAGCGTCTGGCGCTTCTCGTGCTCCTGCACCCAGTACACCTTCTGGAAGATGTTCTCCGTGGTGGAGCCGATGCGCCCCACGGAGATGGACACGCAGTCGTGCAGGAAGTCGCGCGCGAGCACCTGGATGTCCTTGGGGAAGGTGGCGGAGAACATGAGCGTCTGGCGCACGCCGGGTGGGGGCATGGTGTCCTGCTCGACAATGCGGCGGATCTGGGGCTCAAAGCCCATGTCCAGCATGCGGTCGGCCTCGTCGAGCACGAGGAAGCGGATGGCGTCCATGCCGATGCGCCCGCGCTCGAGCAGGTCGACAAGGCGGCCGGGGGTGGCAACCAGCACCTGGCAGCCGCGCTGCAGGTCGCGGAACTGGCTGCGGAAGTCCGTGCCGCCGTACACGCAGCAGGCGCGGATCTTGGCGCGGTAGGCGAACTTGCGCGCCTCGGCGAAAATCTGCGAGGCCAGCTCGCGCGTTGGGGCGAGGATGAGGCACACGGGGAACTGCTTGCCCTCCATGCGGCGGGCCGTCTCTGGGACCTCCACAGGGCCCGTCTCCAGCACGCGGCTGATGATGGGGACGAGGAAAGCGGCTGTCTTGCCGGAACCCGTCTGGGCGCACGCCATGAGGTCGCGGCGGGCAGTCACAATGGGGATGGAGTACTTCTGCACGGGCGTGGGCTTGGTGTAGCCAGCCAGGCGCAGGTTGTTGGTCACCACATCCGCCAGGCCGCAGTCGAAAAAGTCCGACACGGGCTCCGGAACCTCGGTGCCGGTGGCGGAGACGGGAATGTCGTCGTACTTGTCAAAGTTGATGCCTGTCAGCTGGCCGCTGAACAGCTCGCTGTTTGTTGTCGACGGTGCATTTGGTTGATTGGTGGTGGTGGTGGTGGTGGTGGTGGTGGTGTGTGTGTGTGTGAAATAGAGGAATAGAGTCGGACACGCAAAAGCAGGAGTTGGACACGCAAAAGCAGGAGTGTTGAATGCAGTGCGCGCAATTGCAAGTGCCACGCGCGATCCTTCATTATCCTAACACAATATGAAGGGAGGCAGACAGTCAAGCGTACCCTTCGAGGCGCTCGTCGGCAGGGAGCATCTCCGTCCAGTCCTCGCCGGGGCGGTCGTACTGCGAGGAGAAACCGCGGCCTGTCATCATCCATCAGCACGCCAACATGCAATTCAAGGTGCGGGGAGAAGGTGAGGTAGAGTGAGATCGAGCAAGCAGGCAAAAATAAATTTAAAAAAAAAGAGAGAGAGAGAGACCAAAGCCAGCAAGCAAGCTGACAAACCAACTTACAAACTCGCTGACAAGCAAGCTTACTCGCACAAACACACAGGTTCACGATATCATGCGTGCATGCATGAATGCAAGGTGACGTACCTCCGCGTCGGCCGTAGCCGCCTGGGCGACCAAAACGGTCACCCCCACGATCGCGACCGCGACCGCCGCCGCCAAAGCCGCGGGAGTAGCCGCCGCCACGACCAAAGCGATCGTAACCGCCACGCGGTTGCTGCTGGTAGCCACCCCAGCTGCCGCCTGTGTTCCAGCCACCGCCGTGAGGCGGCTGGTAGACGGCGCCGGGCGCGGGCTGGTGCTGCGGGGGCGCAGCGTACATCTGCCGCTGGTCAACAGGCGGCGCAGCCCACACCTGCTGGGGCTGGCCCTGAGGAGGCGCGTGTGGTGGAGCCATCATCATCTGCGCCTGCATTTGCATCTGCGGCGGTGGCGCGGCCTGATGGCGCAGGTGGGGAGGAACGTACCGGTTTGGCGCTGACAGAACGAAACGAACAAGAAGCGAAGAGAAGTAGAAGGGGAAGAAGAACAAAGCAAAGCGCGCGTGAGTTGTAGAAAACGAGAGGGGGTGCAAGCGAGGGAGAATGAGGAGATGGAGGGGAGGGTGCGTGGTTGTGTGTCGTGGAGAGAGAGTGTGTGTGTGGTGTCATCAAGCAACTGTGTGGTGTCATCAATCATCTGTGTGGTGCACGCGCTGGCAAGAATCGTACGTTTGGACATGGGGACTTGGGCGTGTCCGCCGTTGGGACCAAGGGTCATGTCAGCAAGCTGCTGGCCAAGGCTCTGTGGATCACCCATCTGACCACACCAAACAAACCAAACCAAAACACATGAGGGGCGTGTAAGTCCATTGTCGTCGGTTGAAGTACATATCACCCACGTGGGTGCATCCATTTTGTGTGGATGTGTGGCATGTTGTGTGTGCTTGTGCGTGGCACGTTGATATGCGGAGCAAAAAGAGACAATGCAAGCTGTTGAGATGCCACTTGGCGTACCTTGGACGTTTGTTGTGTGATGTGTTTGGCTGAAATGGGGGAAGTTGAAAAGATGAGAGAAGAAGAAGATGCGAGGAGAAGAGTCTTGAAGGGATTCTGTCAACGTTGTGCATGCATTGTCGAACAAACAACCATGAGAGAATGGATGACGATCAATGAGTGAGCGTGCTTACGCGCTCGATCTCCACGACTGTATATGTGTGTGTGTGCGCGATCGACAATCACGTGTTCGGAATCGCAATGCACCTGGTTTTGCAGGGTTTGCGATCGCACCCATTTCCAAAACGACACACACACACACAGCACACGAAGACAGACGAGGAAGTTAACAAACTCCCCCCCCCCTCCCCACCTCTCTCTCTCTCTCTCTCTCTGATGTCACCCGGGTTGTTCATCGCCATGGCCATGGCCATCATCATCGCCATCATCATCGCTATCATCACCACCACGTTGCCGTGTCAGCTTGCTCACCTTTGTGGACAGAAGGAAAAGGACACGCAACACTCGCAGCGCACGCACGAAGAAGCAGAGCACGCTGTGTCGTTGTAAAACAAAATTATGCCGTCGACAACGATGGCCGAAGAATTCTTTTTTTTTGGCGGGGTGCATTGTATTGGGGAATCTTGTGGAATTGAGGGCTCACACCAATTGGCATGCTTTGTGTATTTGATAATAGTTCCGGGACGATTCAACCGTTGTCCGGATTCCCATTTAAAGACTTGATTCAGTCCCTGCCAAGATGACGTCCAGCGCGCCAACAACAAACTTGCCATGGTCAGTGTGTGTGTGTGTGTGTGTGTGTGTGTGTGTGTGTGTGTGTGTGTGTGTGTGTGTCTGTGTGTGTGTGTCTGTGTCTGTGTCTGTGTACGTGTGTATCTGTCTGTGTATCTGTCTGTGTGTCTGTATCTGTGTGTCTGTGTGTCTGTGTCTGTGTCTGTGTCTGTGTACGTGTGTATCTGTCTGTGTATTTGTGTCTGTCTGTGTGTCTTTCTGTCTGTGTCTGTGTCTGTGCATCTGTCTGTGTCTGGATCGGTGAGTTGACAGAAGTTCCTTGCCCCCCTCCCCACACACACACAGGGTGGAGAAGTACCGCCCGGATTCCCTGGACCAGCTTGTTTCGCACAAGGAGATTATCGACACAAGTACGTGCACGCGGGGCTGTTGGTGGTGATGGGGTCCGTGGTGCGTATCATGTCAAACACAACCTTTCGCGAACATGACGCTCACTCATGCAAATGCATGCACATGCGCGCTCCACTTGCGCCAAACACACACTGCTCCACCATCAACACTCATCGCGCGCTCTCGCAACAACTGCTGGCGCTTATGCCGTGACGCATAGTCCAGCGATTTGTGGATGAGAAACGGCTGCCCCATCTCTTGTTCTACGGCCCACCAGGAACTGGCAAGACATCCACCATCAAAGCATGTGCCAAGCAGCTCTACGGCAAAGCATACAAGAGCATGGTCTTGGAGGTGCGCTAGCTTCACACACACACGCGCGCATACAAACACAGACTCCGACGACGGGTGGACATGAAGTACGCGCACACACTGGCATGAGCGCGACTAGCACAGCTCACGCTTGGGCTTTTGCGGCTGTGCTTTGTTTGCCGTTGGCGCTCCGGTGCTATCCTAACGCGTGGTTTGTTCTTGATTCTGTGTCTGTGTCTGTTGTTGTTCTGTTGTTGTTCTTGTTGCTATTGTTGCCGTTGCTCGTTCTTGCAGCTCAACGCCTCGGATGACCGCGGCATTGGCGTTGTCCGCGAGCAGATCAAGACGTTTGCCAGCACAAAGACAGTGTTCAGGTAATGGTAACTGTGTGGTTGTGTCTATGGTTGGTGTGGCTGTGTGTGTGTGTGTGTGTGTGTGTGCGTGGTTGTGGTTGGGCACAAGCTGATGTGACCACATTGCGCGCTGGTGAAGCTGCTGCGCGCACTTCCAAGCTCGAGTGACCACGCCAAGCTCATGTGCGACACGTTGTTGATCCCCGCTTTTTCCCTTCTCTCCCCTTCTCGTTTTTCGTGCCCATCATACAGTGCCGGTTTCAAACTGATCATCTTGGATGAGGCAGACGCCATGACCAACGACGCTCAGGCTGCCCTTCGTCGAGGTACTGCCCGTGCATCAGCACGCCTCAGCATCTACACAGCACCTTTGCGGTCTTGACTTCCCGCAGTCGTCAGCGTCGTTGACTTGCAACCATGCACAAACACTTTCGCACTCGCTCACTCACTCGCACACACTCAAGCACAACATACTCACTCTCTCTCTCACTCACTCACTTACTCACTCACTCACTCACCCACCCTCACTCACTCACTCACTCACTCACTCACTCACTCACTCACTCACTCACTCACTCACTCACTCACTCACTCACTCACTCACTCACTCACGCACTCACTCACTCACGCACTCACTCACTTACTCACTCACTCACTCACTCACTTACTCACTCACTCACTCACTCACTTACTCACTTGATGTCAATCGCTACCCCGGAAACGTGTGTGCAGTGATTGAGAAGTACACCAAGCACACCCGTTTCTGTCTCATCTGCAACTACGTGTCCAAGATCTCCCCAGCTTTGCAAGTGCGTGTGTGCAAACGTGCTGTGTAACCATGCTTGCACAATGTTCTCCAATACCCTGCACTCACTGCACACAGAGGCTCGTGCGCCCCCTCACACGCAATCATACTTGTGCAACTACATTCGTGCATGAGCCTACATGCGCGCACACACGCACACACACACAATCACTCACTCACACGCACACTCACACGCACACTCACACGCACACTCACACACACACTCGCACACTCACACACGCACACTCACACTCATGCACACCCATATGGCAGAGTCGATGCACGCGATTCCGATTTGCGCCGCTGGCAACAGAGCACATGATCCAGCAGGTGCAACGTGTCATCGATGCAGAACAGTAAGAGCGGCCCCTTGTACTTTCCTTTTCTGCTGTCAGGAATCGCAGTGACCGTTGTCCTTCCACATATGTGCACATGCGCTTGCTCACTGGCACACACACACACACACTCGCTCACTTACACCAGCATTGAGACGACGCCTGCGGGCATTGAGGCGTTGGTGAAGCTTGCGTCGGGTGACATGCGAAAAGCCCTCAACATCCTCCAGGTTTGTACAGCTTGTCAAAAGTATGTTTCACACAAACAAGAACGCACCCACGCACGCACGTTTGCATGACACACACGCACGCACACGCACACACACGCACACACACACACAATCTGTATCTCTGTGCTTTTTCCTCGCCCGTTCACACGCTCATTGCGTGCACTACACTCTGCACACTGGTGACGCCTTTGCAGAGTACATTCATGGCATTCAACAAAGTGAATGACGAAGGCGTCTATCTGTGCACGGGCACGCCGCTTCCCGCAGACATTGAGGCCATTGTAGAAGTCATGCTCAACGAATCGTTCAAAACCGCCTTCCGCAGTGAGTTGGTCATTGCGTGTGTGTGTGTGTGTGTGTATGTCTGTCTGTATGTGTGTGTGTGTGTGTGCGAGCGCGTACATATGCGTGACCGCACTTTGCCACGCGACTCCTCAAGCACAACGCTCATGCCTGCGTTTACCTCACTCACAACCACCACCACCTACGACAACCCGCAACAACCCACCACCACCACCACCACCATCGTTGCTGTTGCTTGATTGCAGAGATTATGGAGATTAAGACGGAACAGGGGCTTGCGCTTCAAGACATCTTGCACGACGTGCACGAATTCATTCACAGGTGCAGTGTGGGGTGTGTGTGTGTGTGTGCTTTGTATGTGTGTGTGTGTGTTGTGTCTGTTTGTATTTCGCAAACGTGTGTGAAAGAAACAACAACGTACCTGAAAACTCTTGACACCACAGAGAATACACCACCTCCACAATCATGCATGCGCGCCTCGGTATCACCGCGTTCACGTCACGTGTGTGCTGCTGCTGCTACCAACCCTGCGGCTGGTGTTCATGTGCATGATCAGATTGGACATTCCCACTGCATCGCGGCTCCTTCTCCTCGACCGCCTGGCGCAAATTGAGTGCGTACACACACACGCACACACACACACGAGCACACACACACACACGAGCACACACACACACACACACACACACACACACACACACGCACGCACGCACGCGCGCAATCGTGTGGTTCAAGATGCACGCTCACTGCAACACCTCGTCCTCCTTCCAACCCCCAAACCCCCTTGAATGCACGACACGAGCAGGGAACGGCTCGCGTACGGCGCGAATGAGCGCGCGCAGCTCGCAGATCTTGTCGGCGTCTTCCAGGTCGTCCGAAACCAAGTCGTCGAGGCCGCAGCATAGCACGCGACACACACACACACACACACACACACACACACACACACACACACACACACACACACGCAAGAGTTGGTTGTCGTTATTGCTGGCGCATAGCGCCGTGCTTGTGCGTTGTCCCTCCCCTGTCTTTGGCCTTATCCTCTTGCTTGCTTGATTTTGTAGTCTCATAAACGTGTCACATGTAATGCTATGCTGTGGACTGTTGGTGTTGGGTGGTGCACACGCAAAGTTGACACACGTGACACCAACACTCGAGCGACGAAGACTGTACACATGCGCGACGCAACAGCAACAAAACAACTAACAACCACACACATAGAAAAAAAGAACAACGAAACTACCCATCAATATCACGACAGACGCCACAGGACACAAGTACATCCAAGAGTCACTTTACAATGCCACGTCGCTGTAACAGCAAGTCGAAACGAACGATGCGCTATGCATCTTCAAGCGAAAGCAAACCAGTGTTGGCAGAGTGATTGCACGCTGCACAACGTGCACATGGTCAAACATGTCGTACACGTTACGTTGACACAACACGCGCCAGCCGATCACATACACAGACAACACCACGCGCACGTTGAAACACGTGCTGGGAGAAAGGGGAGGGGGCACTTAGTGCTGCTTGTTGATCCACGCGGTTGCTTCCTTGTGCTGCGTCATGTGCTCGTTCAGCACCTGGTTGAACAGCTCTTTCGTCAGCATGTTGTTCACCGTTGCGTTGGCAGTCGCCTGTCGTGCGAGCACAAACAAGAGGTCGTAGGTTTGAGTATCAAGAACATGCAAAACGTGTGTAAGTATGTGCGTGCGCACACAACAGATGAGGAAATAGAGGGTGGGTGAGCAATTCACAAAAGCACGCGTTTCGCGTGACACAACTCAACACCACCCGCCCCCGCCCCCTAATGCCACCACTGTGAGCACACTGCACGCACCTGCCAGGCGACGCAGAGCTTTGCAATCTGCCGGCCAGAGAATCCCTCGAGCGCCTTTGCGACGGCGCTGAGATCCACGTCCTGCATGTCGTCGCTCAGCAGCACTGGTGCAGACGTCGTCGGCTCAACCTGACGCGCGCACGCAATGTGCAGGGGGGGGGGGGAAGAGGTGGTGTGGAGGGGTGAATGTGTGAAATGGGTGGAAGGTGCGAACGGAGTTCAAGATGCGAAGGTGTAGACGGGTGAAATGTGTGAAAGGCAAGTGAGTGTGTTGGAGCAACAATCAACGCAGGGCAGGGAGGCGTGGCGGTTCGTTTTCAAGCACAACACTGCACTGCACTGCGCGAACGACGCAAGCATCAAGCGGTGTGCTGCATCTCACAATATGCTTCTTGTAGTAGAGGTTGAGGAGGCGGACGCGCTCCGGCAGCTCGGGCAGATCGACGTGCACAGACTCGTCCACACGGTCGAGCACAGCACGATCAAGCTCCTAAAAGTGGGAAGGGGGAAGGGGGTACATGTGACAGGTTGGAGCGGGGTGAGACACACGGACTGCAGCGGTAGTGCAATCAGGGAGATAAGAGTAGTGGGAGTGCCATGTAGGGCCACAGAAGCACACACACACACACACACACACACACACACACACACACGCACACACACACACGTACACACGCACACACACACACACGTACACACGCACACACACACGTACACACGCACACGCACACACGCACACGCACACGCACACACACACACACGTATACACACACACACACACGCACAAACGGACCTGGGGCTCGTTGGAGGAAAGGACAATCATAAACTTGTTTGAGGGGTCGCCGGTGCGGTAGAGAAAGGTGGAGAGGGCGTTGCGCATATCCTCGGACATGCGCGCAGAGCCGGACGACCGCTGGCGCAGGAACGCCTCAGCCTCGTCAATGAACAAAACAAGACTGGAGAGCGGAAGGATGAGGTGTGAGTGGATGTGTCAGGCGCGTGCACCATGTGGGCGAAGAATAAGCAGAAACAAAACACTGCAAACAGCCACGACACACACACGCGCGCGCGCATATGCATGCACGAGCAGAAGAGACGCACCCCTTGTTGCTGCGCTGAGCCCAGTCGAAGACCTTGTGGATCTCTGTGACGGCGTCCTTGCCGAGCGGGCCGACGTCGCCGCCAGCGAGAATCGCATAGTCGAGGCCAGTCTGTACACACACACACACACACACACACACACACACACACACACACACACACACACACACACACAGAATGGAGGTGAGCGGGTGATGCGAGGAGAATGAGTGGCACAACATGATGAGCACCCCCTCAAAACGTATCAACGCATCATGTACGTGCAACGGCTTCATCATGTGCAACAAAGCAGCACGGCTGCACACAGCAATACACAGCAGTACACAGCAGTCCATGACTGCGGACCTGCTGGGCAAGGCGGCGGCCAAACATGGTCTTGCCGGTGCCGGGGGGACCGTGGAGCAGCACGTTGCGGTAGTTGGCCCTGGCACGTACAAGCAAAGACAAATGGGGCGTTGTTGGGAGAATGGCACAACATGGGTGAGGGGGTGGTTGTCGCGAGGGGGAGAGCGAGTGGAAAAGTGGGGTGGTGATATGCGGCCAACTTTTCACAATACCACAATACAGCATGGCGGCGGCGCGAGAGGAGGAGAGGAGGGGGTGCGCACCTGTTGCGGCGGGTGTTGGCGGTGGCGATGGTGATGGACTGGAGACGCTGCTCGACGAGCGAGGGGAAGATGATGTCGCGCATCACCTCATCGGGCTTCGCGGCAGGGCGGAACTGCTCACACGCACGCACGCGCAAGAGTGTTGTAACACACAACAACACGTGAGAAGCACGCACGCATGGCCTTGACGTGAAGGACCTCACACGCACACATAAACCAAAACACACACACACACGATCATGTTTGCGCATTTGTGCATCGCGTTGTGCACGTGCACGCTACGGGTTCAGGCGTATCATGCAATGTGAGCACAAGCAACAAGAGAACACAAAGGGCAGCAACGCACGAGCTTGGGAAGGAATTTGACGGAGCGGGAAGTCTCGCGAACAAGAGGCGGCTGGCGATGTGGAAAACCCGCAAACATGTACGCATGCGTGATGTGAGATATGAGTTCACCGTATGCAATAGAAAGGCAACGTGCAATGATACATATTTGCACAGAGCGCGGTCGCCAACAAAAGACACACCATCAATCACCCACACACAAATCAATCAATCAATCAATCAACAAACCATCACCACCACCACCACCACCACCACCACAACGATAGAGCGGTACCGTGGCCATGCGGCGGAGGACGGCCTGAGTCGCAATCGTGGTGGAGGACCTGAGCAGTGGTGACACCACAGCAGCGACAGCAGCGGCAGAATGGCACGTGATGAGCGGCGCTCACGATGCATGCAGGCATGGTGCACTCAACAACCGGACGACTGGAGGAACGAGACGGAAATACACAGAAGAATGGCACAGGAAGGGATTCATCTCAAGAAGAGAGGGGATGACTGAGACAAATCATACGTGCACGTCACTTCCTTCCGCCGCCAAAACTTGAGCCCCCAATTTCAACCACTCCCCCCCCCCAAAAAAAAGGCGTGGCATACTTTGCAGCGTAGATGCCGAGGGCAATACCGCCAATCACACCAACGGTGGCCAGCATGCGTGGTGTATCGGACAGATACGCGCGCACGCCCTCGCCCATTGTCTCGCCAGCCTGCTTGATGCCCTCAAGCACTGGAGAGCACAAACGGGGTGAGGAGCGCTTGTGAGTGGAGAGTGGATGGTGGACGACGAACGACGGAGAATGCAAAGCGGAGAATGCAAAGCGGGCATGGCATCGCCATCGCGACACATAAAACAAGCACATAAACACACGCCCACACCCACACCCACGCTCACACCCGCGCACTCACACACTCACACTCACATTAGTGCACACGTGCACCACGGACAACCCCCCCCCCTCCCTGGAAAACAAGCTTGCGTGTGCATGCAGGCAAGACCTGTTGTGCGGAACTCCTGTGCCTGTAGGACGAGCTGCTCGTCGCGGATGTCGCGGTTCTCCCGCTCCTGCCGGATGCGGGCCTCTCCGTCCGCCTTTGCCTGTCCACAGGGAAAGAGGAGACGTGTGTGTGTGTGTGTGTGTGTGTGTGTCAGTGATGGAGAGCAGGATAAACATGGCAGTTGGAGCGAAACGCAAGTAAAGCAGGCAAATTATCGGGAACGACAAGAGCGCGTGAAGACGAAAACGAATCCACGCATGCGTGCGTGATGTGGTGCAGGGGTGTACACCTTCATGAGCTCTGTCTCGCGCTGCAGCTGGGACTGGTACTCGAGGGTGCGGCGGCGCTCCTGCTCCTGGCGCGCAACACTCGCCTCTTGCCGCTGCCGTGGCGACGGTGGTGACGATGGTGGTGGTGGTGGTGGTGACAGTGAGAAGGAAGGACAGTGCGACAGATGGAGGAAAGTGCGTGATGGCGTTGTTGAAGGTCACTGGGCGGCATAGAGGTGGTGGGCATGGAATATGCGCGTCGCAGTTGTGACACTTGTACGCAGCAACCAAAGAGATGTGCACTGCAGTGGCCGGACACATGGTGAAGTTGCTTGTGTGAAAACGGAAACTGACCTTGCGCTCGGTGTCGTTGAGCTGCTCCTGCTGGTACAGCTGGTCGTTGTAGCGCTTGCGCGCCAGCTGGTCTTGGTATTGTGCGCGCTACGGCAACAGGATAAAGAGGAGTGTGGGTGTTGTTGTGGTGTTGAGTGGTCGTGATGGTGTGGTGTTGGCAGAAGTGAGCTTCTGGTTGACAAATCATTGGTCACAGCTTTCAGATTGCACTTAACCAACCGCGCGCGCACAAACAAACAAACAAACAAACAAACAAAATGCATGTGTGTACAATCACATGCACGCATGCGCACACACACACACAACACCACGAATGTGCACATGATTCAGGCACCTTCTGCTGCTGCTCCGTCTCCATGGCCATGCTGCGGCGACGCTCCTCCTCAAACACCTGCGCCTGGCGCGTCTTCTCCTCCAAGGACTTGGCCTCGGCCTCCTGTGCTCCCACGCAGAAGCAAGCAAGCAAAGGACAACAACAACCACAACATCATCAGCAAGCCACGAAAGAGATGCGGGGTGAGCGTGGATTTGGGAGTTTGTTTGTTTGCGCGCGCGCGCGTGTGTATGTGTGTGTGATGGTGTGATGCAAAAAAGCGATGGTGAGCTGTTGCGGCGTGTAATTGTGCCACGCAGTTGTGGCAATCACAACAAGGTGGGTAGGTGAGCCCTCTCGCGACAGCAACGGGCTGAAATGTGTATGTGTGTGTCTGTGTGTGTATGTGTGTCTGTGTGTGGGGGGGGGCCCTTACCGCCTTCATGGCAGAGAAGCGCTGCTGCCACGTCTCTTCCTGGGACTTGGCCAGCGTGAGCAGCTCACTCGCGTGCTCTGTTGGAGAGTTTGGTGCGTGAGCGCGCAAAGTTGAGTGTGAGGAGGGTGCGTGGAAAAGAAATGAGGGAACACAAGAGCCGAGCTAGCCAAGATCAGCACGCACACAAGGGCACACAAGGGCACACACACACAAGGGCACACGCACACAAGGGCACGAGCACACAAGTGCCCAAGCACACACACACACACACACACACACACACACACACACACACACACACACACACACACACACACCGCAACACCAGACACAACACAACACAACACAACACACAACACACCGGAAGACTTGATGGCCTCTGCGGCCTTTGCGATGCGCTCAAAGACGCTGGGATCAAGGCGACCGTCGGTCTGTGTGAGATCAATGTCGGCTGTGCCAGCGACAGAGCCCACTGCCGCGATATCGTCCTTGCGCACGGCATCGCTGCCCGTCACGTTGGGCGTCGTGGTGCCAGTGACGTTCTTGTCATTTTCGTTGTTGTTGTTGTTGTTGGCGTCACCGCTGCCGCCAAACAGCCACGAGAACATGGTTGGTGTGTATGGCCTCTACAAAGCGTGCCTTCTCGGGGTGTCTGTCTCGTCACAACTGTCTTCCTCTCGCGACTCTCGTGGTCGTGCTGGGTGGTGCTGTGTGTGTGGGCTGGTGGGTTGAATGCTTCCTGTGCTTCGTGTTCGTGTGTGGTGGGATTTCGCCCTTTTGCTCGCAAGACACGTGGATGATGATGTGTGGGCGAAGAAAACAGCAGCAGCAGAACAAGCAAAAAAAGAAGGAACTAAGAACGCTGACTCGGCAAAAATTCAACACGTGCTGTCGGTCACACATGACACGACACGACACACAGAACAAGTGTGGTAAGCTGATGGGAAGAGCGTTGACGTGAGTTGATGAACAACAACACTCACACACGTGCACGAAACAAGAAACACACGCACATAACGCACGCACACGCACGCATACACATACACCGCCGAGACACTCAGACAAGACAACGAATAGGAAGGTGTCAGACGGATCGAGGTGTTGACAGGGCAAGCGTTGGCGCTGTTGTTGGTGCTGCGGTCGTGGTTGTCTTGTTGTTGTTGCTCCCGCTCTTCTTCGTCTGTACCAACAAGGCCACAGGCGAGTGCGTGCGCGTGTGCATGTACGCATGCCATGAGAGATGTAAAGAGGCAATACCAACCAACACCAACCAATACCAACCAACGCCAACCAACACCAACCAACACCAACCAACACCATTCAACGTTTACGAGCACCATTTCACCAATCAAACAAGAGGTGGCAGTCGCATGCCATGCACCATCTCTGCCATCCCAAAATTGAAAACGACATTGCATCTCAACCGCAGGTCTGACGCACCTTTGACCAGATGATGAGGCCAATGATGAGGGCCAGGGCCAGAAGAACACCCGTGATCAGCAGGCACATCTTCTTGTTCTGCCACCACATCTGGTTCTTCAGCTTGCGCGACGTGCGCTGGAACCGCTTTGCCTGCAAGCACACAAAACCACATTGCAAAGTGAGCACGGGTGAGCACGGGTGACTCGGGTCATCAGCATGCGCACAAGCAAGGCCACAAAGTACATGGGGGTGTTTGTATGCCGCACACACGCACACACAGGCAGGCAAACACACACTCCCCCCCCCCCCCCCCCAAACGCGTACACACACACACACACTCACACACACACACGCTCACGCACCTCATCGTGGAGCGTGTCGGCCTTGTCGACGAGGAGATCAATCTGCTCACCGCGCTGCAGCACTTTCTCTGTTGGGCGGCGGCAAGTTTGGGGGGGGGGTGAGGGGAGAGGAAGATTTGCATCAATACAGTGCATCGACGGCACGTGAGGCGTCATCATCAGACACGTACACGCACAGCGTGACACACACACAAACAGAATCACAAACATACACACACATGCACACATGCACACAGCACAACACGTCAGGGAGAGTGGCGGCTGACCGATGTTCTGGACCATGATGCCCTTGACCTGGTCGACCTCTTGGCGGGCGCGGGAGAGCGCATCGTGCTCAGACGAGTTGTTGAACGACACCTGTGTATGGTGTGTGTGTGTGTGTGTGTGTGAGGAGGGCACAGGGAAGGAACGACATGGGATCATTACGCAGCATGTCAGAACACCGCAAGCAAGCAACACTGCAAGTCGACAATCGCACAATCGGATGCGCACAAATGCACACACATGCACACACATGCACACACGCACCGGCATACATGCACACGGACCATTTGTCTCTGGAGGACGGGGGAGAAGTCGCGGTTGAGGCCATAGGTGATGGAGCTGCGGGCGCGCGACTTGTACGGCAGAAAGTCCCGCTGGATCTGCGCCAAAAACGCAAACGGGATGCGGCGGCCTGTTGCACAGTGTGTGTGTGTGTGTGTGTGTGTGTGTGTGTGTGTGTATGTATGTGTGTGTGTGTGTGTGTGTGGGTGTGTGTGTGTGTGTGTGTGGGTGTGGGTGTGTGTGTGGGTGTGTGTGTGTGTGTGTGTGTGTGTGTGTGGGTGTGTGTGTGGGTGTGTGTGTGGGTGTGTGTGTTCTGTAAGGACGAAGGACGAGGCACTGCAGAACAACACAAAGTCAAAGCACTGCTATTGAAAGCACAACAAATCAAAGCAACGTGCACTTGCAAGTGATGGCGTACCAAAGGACTCGTCGGCCATGCACAGGTACACGATACCATCGTCCCTCACATAGTGGAAGAGAAATCTGGGGTTGCATGCAAGAAAGCGATTGGCTGCATGTGAGCATGAGAGCGTACGCAAATCACACGATGTCGCTCATTGTGCCGTAGCACCGCTCAACACAAAGCACGCATACATAGGTGCGCATCAGAGCAAACAGGTGTATCAAAGCATACACACACATGCATACACACGCACGCATACACATGCACACACACGCACTTGTCGTAGACGTATGAGCACTTTTGGTCCTGCGGTGGGATCTTGTCCAGGATGGACTGGGTGACGGTGGTGAAGTTACCGCTGCTCTCTGTGTACTCGGCCAGGATCTGGTTTCCCCGAGCCACAAGCGCGTAGATCAACGACATGATTGGTTCAACAAAAGGGGTGCCTGCGTCGTGTGTGTGTGTGTGAGTGTTGTGTGTGTTGTGGATATGTGTGTGTGTGTTGTGTGTGTTGTGGATGTGTGTGTATGTTTATGTGTGTGAGTGTTGTGTGTGTGTGTGTGTACGGATATGAGGGCGATCTGCAAGCGTGCGTGCGTGTCTTGTTTGTGCCAGTTGCGTGAGCCGGCTGTTTGCATGCATCTCACACCAGGCAGCACAACACTCACACTCAGACACACACACACACACTCATGCAGCCTCACACAGTTTGAACGTGTGTTGGAGTTTCCTCCACTCCAAACAACAAACCAACAAGTTCACACGCACGCCACGACACACACACACACACGCACGCACACACATACGCGTACATTCAGGCGTGCACGAACCCACATGAAACCACACGACACACACACGAACACACGACACACACGCACCTGCTGCTGGTTGGTGGTGGAGGACAGCAAGAGCAAGAGCAAAGGGCAAAGGAAGGGCAAGGCAAGCAATGCGGATGAGAGCAATGCGTGAGTGCTGCTGTGGTCTTCCAACAAATCGATCGATGATTCATCCAGCAGTGCTGAGCTGCTGACGATTGGGCATATCTTCCAACACTTGCGCCCAGCACACAGCAAAACGAGTCAGACGGGTTTAGGGCCTCTTCAAATAAACCGTGTGGTTCCCACCCACCCCAAAGCCCCCCAACAAAACCGCTGCGCCTTCTGATTCCACACACACACACACACACACACAGACGCAACAACAAACAACCAAGGAAGGCATCCAGCATCCAGCCAACATCAACCGACGAACCCAGCCAGCTTATCATCTCGCTCGCTCGCTTGGAAGAAGCAGCAGACGCAGGCGCACACGCACCAGCAAGTGCAAGTGTAGAGGCAGTAATAGCAGGAGTCAACCGTGCCCCCCCCCCGCTTTTGTTTGAGTGCCTGGCTTGATTAAGGACTGCACCTTTCCAAAGGTGAGCTGCTGCTGACTTGGTTGGTGATGGCGGTGATGGCTGGATGGTGTGCATGGCTGGGCTTGTGTGCAGCAGCAGCTGTGCTTGATCTGGGAGGTGTGGGTCCCCTGCCACCACACATCGCAGCCTGTGCCCAGACCACAAGCACAGTGACGGTGCAAGGGGAGACACCAACGTACCAGCGGCACGCCAGATTTCGATTGATCACTGCCGGCCTTTGACAACGACAACAGCACCTCATCGCCACGCCCGCGAACACAACGACGCTGTTTCCACCACACACATACGTTGCGCATATGCGTGTGCTTTTAGCTTTTGCGATCCGATACCTGACAGATTGCTGGCCCTGCTTTTTCCCTTGCACCTGCAGCACCCCTAGTTCAATCACCACCACCATGGCTGAAGATCTCAACCCGATCCAGATCTTGATCGAGGAGCTGCAGGATGAAGACTTGCAGGTGCCTGTGGGTGTGTGTGCTCGGGTGCCTGTGGGCGTCTGTGTGACTGTGTGCCTGTGTGGGTGTCTGTGTGTCTATGTGACTTTCTCGCTTTGTGTCTGTGTCTGTGCGTGTGTGCGGGTGGGTGAGCGCTGCCACACCCGCCTCTTTTGTTGCTCACCTTGCATCCGCGCTCCTGCACTGACGTCCGCCTTTATTTCTTTCCCACTTTCGGACCAATTGTTTCCGATAGCTGCGTGTGAATGCCATTCGCCGCCTCTCCACCATCGCCCTTGCCCTAGGCGAGGAGCGCACCCGAAATGAACTCCTCCCTTTCCTCAAGGGTATGCCGCAGAACCCTGCTGTCTTGTGGCGTGTGCGTGCGTGCTCGGGATGTGCTCGGGATGTGCTCGGGGTGCGAGTGGGCGAGTGTGGCTGGGGGGATCACAGCCAGTCTTCTCCTCCCGCATCACTGCCATGCCACCGTTGCTGTCACTGTCGCTGTGAGCGCAATTGCTCCTTCCCTCATGCACTTATGCACACACATACACACTGCTATTGTGCCTTCTCCCATCTCAACCGCTGCACGCTCAGACAACCTGCAAGAGGAAGATGAGATTCGCCTTGCTGTTGCCGAGGAGGTGCGATCACCCGGTGCTCGTTCGCGGTTGTGTGTCTCTGTGTGCGTTTGCGTCTGTGTGTGTGTGTGTGTGTCTGTGTCTGTGTCTGTGTCTGTGTGCGTGTCCCTGTCGCTCATCACCCACACCCACATCCACACCCTCACACCTATGCTCACATCACCGATGCGATTTATCCCCTGATTACTACTTCCAAACTCACACGGCCTCTCACGCGTTGCACCGCGCTGTGTGCTGCGTTGTTTGTGTTCGCGACAGCTCGCCGACTTTGTGCCGCTTGTCGGCGGTATCAAGCACGCACACACGCTCTTGTTTCCGCTGCAAGCCATGGCGGCGGTCGATGAGGTGGTTGTCAGAGAAAAGGTGCGTTTGTGCTGGGCAGCTGTAAGCGCACTGTTTGTGCGTGCATGCGTGTAGCTATGAGCACACCGTTTGTGGCTGTGGACACACTGGCGTGGTGCGTCCGATGATGTTGCATGCGCGTGGCGACGAAAGAAAAAGACCATCTACCATCCGTGTACGCATGCGCACTGGAACTCACGCGCAAGCCTGGTCGTGTCACTGTTTCCCTGGCGTGCATGTCCGCCTGTGTGCATGCTCATGTGTGTGTGTGTGTGTGTGTGTGTGTGTGTGTGTGCGTGGCTGTGTGTGTGTGGCTGTGTGCGTGTGTGTTTCTAGGCCGTCGAGACGATGGTGAAGGTTGCTGAGCAGCTGCCCCCTGTCGAGATTGAGAAGTACCTCGTGCACACCATCAACAACCTCGCAACAGGTGCAGTGTGATGCCACCACAGTTGCCACCTCAACCACACACACACACACACACCCGCGTATCCATCTGCAACACCGCCACGGCCACCATCACCACACCCAACGGCACCGTTCTTGCTCACGCCATACCCTCCGCGGCCACCACCAACACCAACACCCGTGTATGCACGCAGGCGACTTCTTTGCGTCGCGGTGCTCTGCGTGCGGGCTGTTTCCGCTGGCGTACCGCAACTCCTCTGGGGGCACCAAGGCCGAGCTGCGGGCGATGATCACCAAACTGTGCACAGACGAGACGCCCATGGTCCGCCGAGCAGCCGCCACCCACCTGCCCCCTGTCATCGAGGCATCAGAGTACGACATACACACACACACACACACACACACACACACACACACACACACACACACACACACAGTGGGCGGTTGCGGTGGAGATGAATGGTTGTCCAAGAGACTGCTCTGTCTGTCTGTGTCTCCCACCTGCCAGCGCCTCCATCTCTTCCCCGTGTCTTCTACCTCTCCCTATCCCGCCTCACCGCCACAATCCCCCTCCCCCTTTCTTGTTTTCTTCCCACTTCACCCCTGTGCCAGTGCTGCGACGGCCAAGGGAGAGCTGCTGCCTGTTGTTGCGCGGCAGCTGAACGACGACCACGACACGGTGCGCCAGCTGGCCGTCAAGGGCGCGGCGGCGCTGGTCAAGGTGGTCTCCACCGACGACGCCGTCGCACAGGTCATCCCCCTCATCAACGACGCCTCAAAGGTCCGCCCCATGCCATGTGGATCCGTGTGGGTGTGAATGTGGGTGTGAATTTGAGTTCTTTGGTTGGCGCTGTTCCAGCCAGCAGCCTTTGCGCCCTTGCTCCTTTGCCCTCCGCACGCACGCTCACACGCCCACACGTACCCCTCCATTCCATGCCTGGCTCTCTTCATGCGTATATCCAACTTTTGTGCACACGTGCGTTGCAGGATCCGAGCTGGAAGGTGCGCAAGGCTGTGGCCGACATCATCCCAGACCTGCAGCAGAGCCTCCCGCCAGCAGTCATCAAGACCGTACGTCTCTCCATCTTCTGCTTGCCCTTCTATTTCTACCTCTCATTCCCCTTCTTTGTCTCTTACGCACGTGCATGCGCTTGCACTCGCGCACATGAGTCCGCATTCCTACTCACGTCGTCTGCTCAACCACTATCACGTGTGTGTGCGTGCGTGCGTGTGTGTCTCTGTCTGTGTCTGTGTGCCTGTGTGCTGTCAGGACATTGTGTTTACGCTGCTGCGCGTGATGAAGGACCAGGAGGCGGACGTGCGGTCGTGTGCGGCGGGGAAGCTGGCGACGTTTGGCGAGAAGTTGACCCCGGCCGAGCGCGAGACGCTCATCATGACCAACCTCCTCCCACAGGTCTCCGAGCTCTGCAGCGACAGGTCCGTTGTTCAACATGTTAGTGATTGTGACGGTAATTGTGGTGATGGTGGTGGTGGTGGTGATGAGGTGCTCTCGTTCTTGTTCTTGTTCCTGTTCTTCTTCTTGTTCTCGTTCTCGTTCTCGCTCTCGCTCTTGTTCTTGTTCCTGTTCTTCTTCTTGTTCTCGTTCTCGTTCTCGCTCTCGCTCTTGTTCTCGTTCTTGTTGTTTTTCCAGTTACCGCCATCCACACTCTCGTTCTTGCTGCGCTTATTCCCAATGCATGCATGCCGTTGGTTGTCTCACGCATGAACCCACCTTACCATTTATCTCCTATCCTCGCCGTTGCACAAACATGTGCGTGCATGCGTGTGTGTGTGTGTGTGTGTGTGTGCGTGTGCAGCAACCAGTATGTGCGCATGGCTGTTGCCACTGTGCTGCCGACGCTTGGCCCCGTTCTTGGGAAGGCAAAGACGCTCGAGCAGATTGTTCCCCTCTTCATCAAACTCCTCAGAGACGAGGTGCGACGACGCACATGTACACTGGTCATGGCAGCAACACCAGCGCAGACACATGCACATGCGCACGCGCGCACAAGAACATACACCATACATTCCTGGCCCATGTACCTGGATGAAGTATTGCCTGAAGTGCTCATGCCTCACAACCTTCAAATGTGTGTATTTGTGTCTGTGTTTGGTTGGTTGGTTGGTTGGTTGGTTGGTGTGTTGTTTTTTTGCTTCGTTTCCTTGTTTGCTCGATTCAGTTCTCCGACGTGCGGTTGAATGTGATTTCCAAGATGGAGGCATTGCAGAAGGTACACGACATGTTGCACAACGATGTTGTGCTTTTGCAGTGCACTGTATGCAAGCAACCTGTCTTGCAAGCACTGAGCGATCAGTTTTCGTGTGCCTGTCTGCGTGCACTGTCCTGTTGCTATTTCCTCATGTTATCGGGCGTATTCTCTCCTTCCTCGCTTCCGAATCACACGTGCACACAAACACACTTATGCTCTCTCTCTCTCTCTCTCTCTCTCTCTCTCTCTCTCTCTCTCTCTCTCTCTCTCTCTCTCTCTCTCTCTCTCTCTCTCTCTCTCTCTCTCTCTCTCTCTCTCTCTCTCTCTCTCTCTCTCTGTCTCTGTCTCTCTCTCTCTGTCTCTGTCTCTCTCTCTCTGTCTCTCTGTCTCTCTGTCTCTGTCTCTCTCTCTCTCTCTCTCTGTCTCTGTCTCTCTCTCTCTCTCTCTCTCTGTCTCTCTCTCTCTCTCTCTCTCTCTCTCTCATGCGCGCAACACTTACACCAATGCACACACATGCGCACACCGCATTTGCAGACGATCGGCGCCGACCAGGTTGCGAATGTGATTGTGCCCGAGCTGGTTGCCATGTCTGAGGACCCGCAGTGGCGCGTGCGCCTGGCCATCATTGAGCAGCTCCCCTCCTTTGCTCGCATCCTCGGCTCGTCGAAATTCGACAGCCGCCTCCTCCCCGTCTGCATGGTCAGTTCTTCCGGCGGTGCTTCTGTACACGCATGTTGCTTGCTCCCGATTCTGTTTGCCTGTAAGGGAGAAGAGGTGTGCACTGCTATGTGTGTCACTCATGCACGGTTTTTACTCACTCCTGTTTACTTTGTGTCTCTCCTCGTATCTGTTCTGATTTGCCGCCGCTTGTGTGTCACCAGCGGTGGCTGATGGACAGCGTGTATGCAGTGCGCGTGGCTGTGATTGCCCAGTTTCCCGCGCTCATTGACGTGTTTGGCGCGTCCTGGACAAAGTCCACCCTCATCCCACAGATTGTCACCCTCGGCAGCGAGAACGCCTACCTCGCCCGCCTCACCACCCTCTTTGTCATCAATGTACGTGCGCCTGCGTGTCTGTGTGTGTGTGTATGTATGTGTATGTGTATGCATGTGTATGTATGTATGTATGTATGTATGTATGTATGTATGTATGTATGTATGTATGTATGTATGTATGTATGTATGTATGTTTGTATGTGTATGTGAGTGTGTGTGTGCCTGTGCCCGTGTGTATGCATGTATGTATGTGTGTGTGTATGTGAGTGTGTGTATGCATGTATGTATGTGTGTGTATGTGTGTTCGTTTGTGCCGCCTTCCCCCTTTTGCGTCGTCTCACCCCTTCTCCCTCTGTTCCTCCTCTTCTTTGTCCTCCTCTTCCTCCTCCTCTCAGGCGATTGCGGAGAAGGTTGCGCCTGAGGTTCTGACGAAGCACGTGTTGCCTGTGGTGACGAAGCTTGCCAAGGACAAGGTCCCCAACGTCCGCTTCAACTGCGCCCGCACCCTCGGCGTCCTCGCAAAGCGCGTCAAGAGGTGGGCTTCGTGTGGCGCATCATGGATGTGTGTGTGTGTGTGTGTGTGTGTGTGTGTGTGTGTGTGTGTGTGTGTGTGTGTGTGTGTGTGTGTGTGTGGGTGTGGGTGTCTGCGTGTGTGTGTGTGTCGGTGTCTGGGTGTCTGTGTCTGGGTGTGTGGTCTGTGCGTGCGAGCGTGCATGCGTATGGCCTCTCTTCGCGTTGCACGGTGTCGCCTGCCGTTTTCAACCGCCACTCACTGCTCACCACTCTTGACTCACCACTCACCACTCACCACTCTGCGCGTCAGCCCCACTGTCAAGTCGTGTCTGGATTCTCTCAAGGGAGACGAGGATGAGGATGTCAAGTTGTTTGCGAAGGAATCTCTCGCTTCTCTCAGCTAACTGCACCCCACCCCCCAACAAACTATGTTCCTCTTTCTGTGCTTCTTCGTTCCTCTGCCCTGTTCAGTTAGTCCCCGTTTTGGTTGTTGTTATTCACCGCGGCTGTCTCATGAATGTGCGTTTGTCCGTATGTGTTTGTGTGTATGTGTGTGTGTGTGTGTGTGCGTGTGCGTTGCTTCTTCGTGGTCATATCCTTTTGCTTGTCCTTGCTTTGCGTTTGGTCTCATTCTCTGTGCTACGCTTTCGTCGAGACCATGTCTGCACTTGTGTGTGTGTGTGTGTGTGTGTGTGTGTGTGTGTGTGTGTGTGTGTGTGTGTGTGTGTGTGTGTGTGTGTGTGTGCTGCGGGCTGTTGCAGAATTGCAGAAGCAAGCAAGCCTGCGCACGTGACTGTCGCATGTATGTCGCAGTAAAGATTCACCCGAAGGGGTGCTTTTGTTGCCACGTGTGCACAAAAAATCCACACAAACAAACAAACACAGCAGCGGATACGAAGCAACCACACCACGACTGACTGACTGACAACAACAACAAAGGATGAACATGCGGAGTGTGCTTGGTGTGGCCGTCCTGGCTCTGGTGACGATCGCACTGGTCTCGCCGCTGGCTGTGGAGGCGAAGAAGAAGCAGAAGGACGAAAAGGAGTGCGAAGGTGTGTGTGTCTGTGTGTCGGTGTCTGTGTCTGTCTGTCTGTCTGTCCGTGTGTGTGTCTGTCTGTCTGTCTGTCTGTCTGTCTGCATCTGTGTATGTATCTATCTATCTGTCTATCTGTCTATCTGTCTATCTGTCTATCTGTCTATCTGTCTATCTGTCTATCTGTCTATCCGTTAATGGTTCCATCGTTCTGTCTGTCTGTCTGTCTGTCTGTCTGTTAATCGTTCCATCTGTCTGTCTGTCTGTCTGTCTGTCTGTCTGTCTGCCCGCCTCCCTCCCCCCCTGCCTGTATGTATGCGACTGCTGTCTTCTCACTGTGTATCTGCCCTCTGTCTATGCCCGCACGCCCGACACGTCTTTGTTTCTCTTCTCCACGCTGCATGTCCCTAACGCTTCCTCCATTACAACGCGGCACCTGTCCCGTCCGCCCCAACAACGTCAACCCGCTGCGCAGTGTGCAAGAAGGTGGTTGGCAAGGTTCTGGACATGGCCAAGAAAGAGGGCGTTGACGTGACTGACCAGGATGGTATTGCCAGCCTCATCAAGAAGCATTGCAAGTCCACCCGCATCAACAAGGAGAACCGCCTCGTACGTGGAAGAATCCGTCTGCGCTCTGCTTGCGGCTGTGTACAAACTGCCCAGCATAACATCGCATCGTGCATCTCCTGCCTGCACGCTCGCTCGCGTCAGGGCTGTGGTCACGGCATTCCTCTTGTTTCCCCTCACAAATTGCCCTCTTCACACAACACACACCACACACACACACACACACACACACACACACACACACACACTATGCAGTGCTACTACATTGGCGGGTCTGAGGATGCTGCGACAGGCCTGCTGCGTGAGGTGACAGGCCCCATCAGCCGCTACATGCCGCCCGCAGCCGTCTGCAGCCGCCTCAAGAAGAAGGACCAACAGATCTGCGACCTCCAATACGGTTCGTGTCTTGTGTGTGTGTGTGTGTGTGTCTATGTACATTTGTCACACTGATGTGCTTCCCTTTCTTGCCCCTCCCTCATTGCCTGTATTGTGCCTGCATGCACACTCACCTTACTTGTCCGCACACCTCGCCCTTCGTAACTTGTTAATGCCCATCACCACACATACACGCACAAACACATACACATGTACACGCACACACACACACACATACACGCACACACACACGCACACACGCACGTACACACGCACACACACACACACACACACACGACCACGCGGCAGACGAGGAGATTGACCTGAGCAAGATTGACCTGAAGAAGCAGCGGGTGAAGGTGCTGAAGAAGATCCTGAACGAGCAGTTTGGCGACAGCTGCAAGGGCTGCCTCGAGAAGACTGACTACATCAAGCGCATTGAGGAGCTCAAGGCCAAGCACCAGGAGCTCTGAGCACGTGGGCACTCTTTGTGGCACGTGGGCTGTGTATGTTGCGCTTGGTGCTGTGTGGGGATGGCTTGCAACGGGAACCATAGTGACAGTGTGAGAATGTGGTGTGGCATGACAACCCCTGTCTGCTCACTGCCACTCACGCTTGTTTTCGTCTGTCTGTCTGTCTGTCTGTCTGTGCGTGCGTGTTTGAGTGTTCTCTCTTGCTCTGTTCGAATCGTTCATCTATGTGCCCTCTCCCGTTGAAATGTGTGTGTGTGTGTATGCGTGAGTGCATGTGTGTGTGTGTGCCGCTCTCGGTTCTCTCTTTCTTGATATGCTTGGCTCGTGCGAAGAGGTGTTACGACAATACATTGGCATTCATATGTCATGTATGCTGGGGAGTTCCGTGCGTGTGTATGCGTGTGAATTGTGGGAGCGTGTGAATTGTGGGAGCGAAAGAGAGAGTGTGTGAGCGAGAGAGCGGGGGGAAGGGAGCTGCGCATATTAAAACACACACACACACACACACACACACACACACACACACACACACACACACACACACACACACACACACACACACACACACACACACACACACACACACACACACACACACACACACACACACACACGCACGACAGCTAGCAAATTTCCATATACAACATCACAAAATGCATTTTCACAACTGGCGCTGGTGGTCGGTCGGATACAAACGACAACCACGCCTGCTCCGCACCTCTCACGAATGGTAGCAGCTGCTGACATCGTCCGCCATCATGAGCAAGAAAACGCTGCGAGGGACGCGCCTCAAGCGCTCTGATGTGAGCATGCCCGAGGGCGCAGTCATGACCCAGGTGCGAATGCGAATTCAGCCTCATGCTTGACGATGCATGCTCTTCATGTTGGGGCTGTATGAACGCGTGCTCTTGAGCGATCGTTGAGTGTTGTGTTGTGTTTCTCTTCCAGCTGTCGCGAGAACCCTTGAGGGATGCCACCTTTGCCATGTGCTTTGGTTGTGGCATTGCTGATGTGTTCGACTGGTGATTTGCAGTCACACAAGCATCACATCAACACTCAGCCACAGCTACACAAACACAAACACAGTCACACTTCACCACATCTCACTCACACACACACACACACGCTCTCTCATCCGCGGTGACTGTGCTTGTAGAACGTGGTTGATGCGGATATGCCGCCCATGCCGGAGCAGCACCTGCTTGACCAGCAGCTGTTGCAGGTGCTTGAGTCCATGAACATTCCAAAGGCCAAAGTGCAGGAGATGCTGCAACAGCCGAACCAGAAGAAGTGGCAGCTCGTCTGGGGACAGGTGCCGCTTACACTGAATGCGCGCGCGCGCGTGTGTGTGTGTGTGTGTGTGTGTGTGTGTGTGTGTGTGTGTGTGTGTGTGTGTCTGTGTCTGTGTCTGTGTCTGTGTCTGTGTCTGTGTCTGTGTCTGTGCGTGCGTGCGTGTGTGTCTGTGTGTGTGCGGGTGTGTGTGTGTGTGTGGGTGTGCGCGCGCGCGTGTGCGTGTGCGTGCATTTGTGCCTAGCCTATTGCACCCCCGTAATCTGACTTATCAATGGAAGTAACAGGTTGCACAGTCATGTCTCACCCCATCCTACATGCCACCCTTCACCATGCCTTGCTCGACTCTGTTCTCAGTACAAGCACAAGGTGCGACACACGCCCGGCCACTACCTCAACAGCCTCGTTGCGCATCTTGAAGCGCGTGACAAACAGCGCCGCAAGGTATGCGTGCTCGTGATCCGAGAGACCGCGCATATGTTCCGCTACAACCCTGCCTGGTTGTGCGTTTGTGTGAGTGTGTGAGTGTCTGTGTGTCTGTGTATCTGTGCCTGTGTGTGTCTGTGCGTGTGTGCGTGTGTCTGTGCGTGTGTCTGTGTGACCGCTGCCAGCGTTGCCTCCGTGCCTCGATTGCTTAAGTTCATCTGTGTGGCCAATAGAAAACAATGACATGCTCAATGCTCATGAACACCACCAACACGTTCCTCAACCAGAAATCCAAGTCGCTCAAGTTGCCATCTGGGATTGAGTCTCCGGCAACGATATTGCGCAACATCGAGATTGCCCTGCGCACCAATCCGCTCAGGTAACCGCCATCACCATCGTTATGCATGTGCTGTGTGTGGGTGTGCTGGGACAGAGATTGCCTGCAGTGGGATGCGATATGCCATACGCATTTCTGTTCACGAATTACACTGCTTACACACTCTTATCTGACACACTCACTCACACCCGCACTCACTCACTCACTCACTCACTCACTCACTCACTCATTCACTCATTCACTCATTCACTTGCACTCTCCCGCCACTGCACGTGGGTGCAGCTGGGTGAAGGAGTTTATCGGCTATGAGCCGCCCTACGACGAGAAGGACAAGACGGTCACGCGGCGCAGCGGCGGCCTCAACATCCTCATGGAGTACTTTGCAAGCATGTCCGACAGCACAAGGTGATGCTCGTGCACGTCGGTTGTGTCTTGTGCGTGCGTGCGTGCGTGTGTGTGTGTGTGTGTGTGTGTGTGGGTGTGTGGGTGTGTGTGTGGTGTGTGTGTGGTGTGTGTGTGTGTGTGTGTGTGTGTGTGTGTGTGTGTGT